TTTTATCACTGTTCAATACTAACGTTTTGCTCTTTTGAGTTTTAGCACTTTAAAGTTTTTTTACTAAATAATTTTGTGTGAATGGTTAAATCAAGAAAATAATTAATTGCAGCGCGTTAGAAGGTTACATGAAACTTTTAGCACTCTGATCAGTGATGTAATCGGTTTCGTCCCGATATTTGTATTCATAGTACAGTTACAAGTTTCAATTTGTAATGTACAAACTATTGAAATGGACCTTATATTTCTATTTCTGACATAAAATAGAGTTTTTTTGGTTTCAATATTAAAATAAACGTGTTCCTGCACAAAGTTTAATTCCAGATATTTTAAAGAAATATTTAGACGTTCCATTTTGTGCATGTGTAGAGATAAGCAAAATTTACATTCTGACTGGCTATTTTTTATATTATTCACAAATAAATGCAATCGTATTTATCTAACAAAGTAATAAATATTCACGAATACAAATAAATATCAGCGCATTGGATTAATAGATCTTTTCAATATGCTTTATCTTAAATGCAGTCTCTAATAACGTTAAACTTTGTTCTAGAGACGTAACATATTGTATTGCTTGGCACACCAAAATACATTTTTTATTGTCATTACTATTTAGCATTTGTACAAATAAATAATTAGATAAACACTAACACAATTCTTTATAAAGGCATATTGTGCATATCAAATTTTATAAAATATTAGTTAATTAGAATTGATTAAAGTTTTGTACGTTCGTGCTTAAACATTTAATTATAATCATATTCCAACAATGACAGCCGAACTTTTTGATGCTGCTACTGATTTATTAGCCATTTATAATCCTGTAATCGATTTAGTGAGACGATTAGTTAAAGATATTTATCAAATTTATGAGAATGCAGAATGTAATAAAGAACTTTGCCTGATTATGGTTAATCGAGTAGAAGCTGCAAAATATTCTATAGATATAATAATTAGAAGTACAGAAAAGAAACAAGAAGATTTACGCAAAAAATCTTATTTTTTAGCTTTTGAAAGATTTAAAAATATCTTAACACAAATTAAAGAATTTACCAACAGTGTTTCAAAGCTTAAAGGATATAAAAAATTTTTTCAAGCAACTGATGTTAAAAAGAAATTTGAGCAATTAATAGATGAATTTGATAAGTGTAGAAGTGATCTTCACTTTGCCATTGATGTTTCTAATGATATTGATAGAAAAGAAGAATCTGAAAGAGTGGATAAAGCTTTAAAAGAAGTCGATGAAGTAAGTTTAATTATTGTATTCAGAAACATAGTAACTTTATTATATTAATTATATAATCTTTTTTTTATATAATAATCATTTTAGACTCTCAAACAACTCGACGATAAAATTGATGAAGTAAGTTTATTTCTTTTATCAAGAAATATAATAATAATCTTATTTTATTGATTTTAACGATAATGAAGTAAGATTAGCAATTCAGAAATATATCATTTTAATTTAAATTTTATGATTATCCGCTTAGTCGGTCAAACATGTTGGAGATAAAGTTGATGAAGTAAGTAAGTTTAGTTATTCTGAAATATAATAATTTTACGTATCATATTAATTTTAAACTTTATCCATTTTTAGTCTTTCAAACAAGTGAGAGATAAAATTGATGCAGTAGCTCAACGTATAGTCTACATGCAAACGACTAAGCAAGGTGATGCGAATAAGATTGATTCAAGTGAATTTGGTGACCCTCAAATTCATGTAAATCAGGGCCGAGTCTTTAAAAAGATTTATAAGTCATTCATAGAAGTTGCATGTAAACCTATTGATGGCCAAAATGAATCAGAATTGGCTATCATTAAAAAATTAGGCTTATCACCTCAGGTTCTCAAATTTTATGGGCACTCAGAAATTGATAACAAAAGAGTTATGATTTTTGAATGGGCTGAACATGGAAGTTTAAAGGAACTTTATGAGAATTATGACATTCCTTGGACCAGAAAAATACAAATTGCCAAAGATATACTTCTTGGCCTTTTGTTTTTACGTGCAGTAAATGTTTTTCATCATGATCTTAGGTGTGAAAACGTTTTTGTAAGTATAATTAAATAATTATAGTATGTTTAAAAATAATGATTATTAACATTAAATTATAGGTACTAAGAGATTTGAATGTAAAACTTGGAAATTTCGGATGTGCACGTGAAGTTGATGAACATTCTAGAAATCTTTCACAATTGGCAACATATATTGTTCGTTGGATGTCTCCTGAGCTAATCAAAAAATATATTAGTCAAAGTAATCATGAAAACAAAAAAGTATATACATTTAATTGCGAAATGTTCAGGTAATTACAATTATGAATATTTAATTTTATTTTATTTTTCTGTTTTTTTTTTTTTCTAACCATTCTTCTCAACTAGTTTTGGAATGCTCTTATGGGAGCTTTGTTATGAAAAGTTGCCTTATGCTAATTGGAATATTAAACAAATATCTGATCATGTCTTGAGAGGCGACCGAGAAAAGGTTTTAAAAGGAAGATTTACAAATCCTGATGATAAAGAAATTCAACTAGAATTTATTAAAATCATTCAAGATGGTAATTATATCTAGATATTCTTTATAATAATTTTTATTTTTATAGGTTATGCTTACTTTATTTATTTACTTTCAATTTACTTTCAATTTACCTTGGTTTACTTAATTGATAAAAAGCATGGCCTCAACAACCAGAATTACGAATAACTATTCCTACATTGAGGCAAAGGCTTGAAGGACTAGTCAATAAATTCCCAATTCCTCTTGATGCACCAACATTATTTAAAAATAAAGTATTAGATCTTGATGGTCAGAAGTCTGAATCTTTACCAGAATTTGATGAGGTTGAAATTCCTGAAGAATTCGCAGAAGAACCTGCTCTTGTACCTCTTGAAGATGGTATTAAAATGCATAAAAAAAAGGAATATAAGAGTGCATGGGAATGTTTCAAAGAAAATGCTGATCTTAATAACCCATTAGCAAAATTCTGGTTAGGATATTACTCACTTTACGGGCATTATGGAGAAAAAGATTCAAATCGAGCAAAAAAGCTTTTCAAAGAAGCTGCTGATGAGCATAATCATTCTGAATCACAATGTAGATATGCGGTTTTATTGTTTGATGACCTTAGTAAAGAAAATAATGAAACTAAGAAAGATGAATTACGCAAAGAAATTTTACGTTATTTTGAATTAGCCGCTAACAATCCAGTCCAAAATATTGATGCAATGTATTATTTGGGTGATATTTATGTGGCTGGAAAGCTTAAAGTGAGAAAGGATGAAGAGCGTGGGTTAAATTATTTAAGATTAGCTGCCAATGGTAGTAATCAAAGAGCTATTACTCTATTAAAGAAGTTAGATAAACCGATTAGATAAGATAGCTTATATTTGAAACAAATTTCTCATCTTTAGAGTATTTCCATTTTATTTTTGTATTTTAAATTGTAACATTAATTTATATTTTTTCATCTTTTTTTTAATCTTGTAGTATTGTAGTGTTATTTTTAAATTCTTTATATTTTAAGTTTAGTACGTATTTTAATTTACATCCAAATTGGATGTAAATTTATATGATTTAAGGATACAACTCGTTCATGGAAATTTAAATGTTTTGTATCATCACAAGATTTGTTGTTCTGAAAGTTTATCAAGCACTTCACAAATTGTTCGAATCTACGAAATAATTTAAAAGTTTCACTTATAATTTTAGTCCTAACACATATAGCCCTTTAAAATAAATTTGTTGTCGAAATTTTTGCAAATTAAATCATGTGAAAAAATGCAAAAAATGAGCCACTCTCTATAAATCATCACATCTTGAAAGTAAGCAATTAATATCAGGTTGTATTTAAATCAACTGAAAATGATAATTCTAATGGCAAGTTTACACTGGGTGTTGCTTTAAAGTGGTATGGATATGACCATGAATAAAAGAAGCAATTTTGATAGTTAAGGCCGTTCTCAAGCGCCTACCTCGATGGATTTACAGAACGATCTGATTGGTTGAAAAAATTGATCGTGATTATCACTTAGGTCAAAAAAACC